ACAAGCCAATCCCCACAACAGCAAGCAAAACCCTGAAGACAGAACAGTGTGTAGAAATCAATGATTGATGTTAATATTATATGAGTTAAACAGCGACTTAAAATTATATAATTATACTATAATATTTATTATATACTTGGAACTAGGGCATAAAAAATATACACTACAAAGCATTCCCTTTGGTGCCAAGAGTAATATGTGTATGGTAGAGAGAGAGTTTAGAAGAATTTGAAAGTTTATCTATGCCCAAGCCACAGACAAAGATTTACATATTACTGGTAAACCCTTTCAAATTCTCCCAACTTTCTTGAGTACATCTCTCAAGCTATGTGGACAAGAGGGAGCACATCAGGTTCTAGGAAATATCCAGACCTTTTTCCAAGGAAGGGTCACTGGATATTTTGAAGGGGTTGAAGGGGGGGAGGCTCAAAAGCCAAAATGTTTAATCTTATCCAGTTTATGGCATAAAAAGGAGTCTGTACCTCTGCTACCCTCCTCAAGAGCAATATTTGCACTTTGAGTGTAGCTGGATAATAATATTAGTTACATCTACAGGGTTTGAAGCAGAGAAGTTCACTAGTTCATCATTTCATCCTTTGAGCATTTTCAAACAAGTGACTGAAAGCCTAAAGGACTCTGGACAAAATCAAAAATTGGAACCAGAAACTCCTGTTCCAGTTTGATATTTACATCAATACATGCATGAATCCAAGTTCAATAATGGTTTCTGAACACGCATAGAGAAAGCAACTGCTGTGATTAAAGTTGCATCACCTTCTGAAAAAGGAATGTGACCTCTGGGAACCAGATTTCCCCTAGCATCATCTAAATATTCACAAATTATTGGCCTGTCCATGGAATGTCAAAACATAGACAGAGCAGTGCATTTAAGCCAAGAACTAAAACTTTTAAGACAATGAGAAACTTGATTGATTTATATCACAAACAGTGAAATATATAGAGGATATTACACAGTTATGTTCACAAGAACATAACTGGCAAGAACGATATCTCATGAGTGAGCGCAGCGAACAAGTGAGATATTGTTCTTGCCACCAGAACATAAAATTCATATCTTCGAGATAACGTGTAATGTTCTTTTTATTATATAGACATACTGATGACGGCATTTTTGACAATTTTCTGAAGATTTCCGACCACTTCATGAAGATTTCCAAAGATTCTCCAAAATTTGTCCGAGAGGTCACACAAGCGTTGCCGAACATTTTCTGAAAATTTCCGAAGATTTCCGAAGATTACTGAAGATTGCTGAAGACTTTCGAGGAAGATCTGAAGATGTTTCAATGATACACCAACGAATTTAAGTACAGTTTAAGAGATGAACTTGATATCAGTAAAATCACCAATATCTTCACTAGTGAGGATATGGAAAATACGCCACTCAAGTACCAGATGTGGTTTCCTACGAATTTTACGAGTAGTGTATTTTCTTGTAAAACACTTGTGTTTATATAATAAATAGAGGATATTAGACGGAGGTGAGAAGATATGAATTTTATGTTTGAGTGGCAAGAACAATATCTCATGAGTGAGTGCAGCGAACAAGTGAGATATTGTTCTTGCCACTAGAATATAAAATTCATATCTTTGAGCTGACGTGTAATGTTCTTTTTATTACATAGACATACTGATGACGGCATTTTTTACGATTTTCCAAAGAATTCCGACCATTTCACAAAGATTTCCAAAGATTCTCCAAAACTTGTTCAAAGGTCACATGAACGTTGCCGAACATTTTTCTAGTGAGGATAAGGGAAACATGCCACTCGAGTCCTGGATGTGGTTTCGTATGAATTTTACAAGTGGTGTATTTTCCAGTAAAACACTTATGTCTGTATAATAAAAAAAATCCTTTGTTCTAGGAAAGTTGAACAGGCAACAGGCCAACACAAACAGATGTCTTCGGCAAGCTCCAGTCAAGGTCTTATTAGTGTTTCAGATACTTTTTTTAGAAATTTGGAGACTATATCCAGTGATTCATATTGGCACAGGAAAATTACCATGTGTAAATTGAAGGACAGGGGGCAGC